GAGGTTTCAGCCCCACCATCATGGAGCCTCCACCTGCCTTTCTAGGCAGAAGAGCAGGGCCAGCAAAGACCATGGCAACCCTTTTCACTTGGCCAGACCCAGAGAGAAGCTCCTAGGCTTGTCTTCCTTTGAAAAGAGTCCATTTCTGCTCTGGATTCAAGGGCCTGCTGTGGTTACATGGTTGCCCCAGAGACCAAGTGGCTCCGAACCCAATTGAAACCATTGACCATTGGCCTTCTGGACCTGGTGCTGGTTGGAGAGGTTCTTGGGTAGCTCCTTGGCTTGGCACCTCTGAGGACATCAGAAAATAAAAGCGAAAAGAACTCATATAAATATAAATTCATGCTTCTTAGTCATGCTCCAAAATGGAAGGCATTTTGAAATTCCTCCTGGGCAGAAGGTTGAAATGTAGGACATGTCCTGGAAAAGGAGGATGTCTGGTCGCCCTGCCTTCACTCGATGCTTGGTGCTGTTTGTCAAGGTGGGCTAGGAGAGGCATTTACAACCATGGCAACGTGGTGTTGTCAAATATGGCACAGTCACAGATCTGTAAGGTAGAGTGCAATACAAAAATGTCACCCAATGTGTCAAATTTAGCAGCGGCGGCTCCTACGAAGGGTGACAAGATGTCCTCTTGGAATGTGCTTTGATTTGCAGGAAAAGGCATTTATTAAATGGTCCACTGAGATCCCTAGTATTTCGCAAGTGATCCACATGGATTCCCACTTAAGAAGTGCACAGTTTTACATTTGTGGCACCCTATATTTTGACCTTCTGCCCAGGAGGAATTCCAAAACGTCCTCAATTTTTGAGCATGACAAAGAAGCCCATTGAGTAACACCATATTTGATCTTTCCCTTTGAGAAATGTGTCGACTTGGCAGCCTGTCCTCCTTTTCAGCGCCTTGTCCTCCTTTGCACTGATGGCATCGGGTCACCCCAGTCCTACGTCAGCAGAGTGGTTTAAATCCATGGTTTAAAGGAGCTCTCTCAGGGGCTTCACCCCATTTATAAATAGGTTCTGTACCATGGATAGCTCCTTTTAAGCTAGTGAAAACCTGGAGTGGATCCCTATTGCCCCACTGACATGAGTGCCATCCAGTTGCCATGTTGGGCACATTATGAGGGTGCTCTAAGGTTCCAGAAAACACCAGAGCATCCACACTAGACAGTTGTAATGGTTTGATACCACTTTAACGGCCATGGCTTTATCCTATGCAATTCTGTGCTTTGTATTTTGGCAAGGGACTTAAAATTCTCTGCTAGACAGCTCTAGTGTTCAGGGGAGTTTCACCAAAGCTCTCCAGCAGAGAAATCAAAATACCTATCCACACTACAAATCCCAGGCTACCATAGGATGCAGCCACAGCCATTACACTGCTATCAAGTTGGGATGACTTAAAAGCACTTGGGCACTACGAATCCCTCAATTCCATAGGAGGCAGCCATGATGAAACAAAATCAAAGTGCTGTGATGTAGCATAAAAAGGTCCTTAGAAAGTAAATGTTTTGGGGCTGTTGTGTGCCTTCCAGTCTTTCGGTACTTACGGCCACCCTACAGTTTTCTTGACAGAATTTGCTCAAAGAGGGTTTGCTCTTGACAAAAGCCTAATACGTTTCAAATAAATTTAACTTTGGAAGCAAACCAGGTGGAGAGATTTTGCTGCTGGTGCGTGCCTTCAAATCTTTCCTGAAAGATGGGGACCCTGAGGTGAACATATCGTAGGGTTTTCTGGGGCTGAGAGTGTGTGACTCAGCCAAGGATTCCCATGGCCGAGTGAGGATTCGAACCCTGCTCTCCCAGTGTCCTAGTGCAACACTGGAACCACTGGCACATCATGCTGTTTCCCTCGCAGGTTGTATTTCAGAATTTCCCACTAGATGTCACCATTATGCTAAGGAAAGGCTTTCTCGGTGCATATAAGAAAAATGAACTTTTCCCTTAAGTCCCCCATAAACCCTTATGGTTCCAGCCTCTTTGCTCTTGACCTTTTTCTCATCCAGGATGGAAACCTGTGGAAAGAGGCACAATGTCCTCCCATGGATGTCCATGCTGAGAAGCTTCTCTTGAGATCTGAACTGTGCAAAGGAGACGCACCGCACCAGCATGGATAAAACAGATGATATGTCCCAGTATCTCCAGTTTGAAGGCCAACTGGGAAAAACAACCTCTGCCTGGCAGTAGTCAGATCCTGCATGTGGCAACCTGAGTTTTGTGGAGCTCTAAACCCAGACCTGGTTCATCCACACTTTTGTTCTTGTGTGCCTCCAAGTCATTTTGGACTTAGGGTTGACCCTAAGGTGAACCTATCATAGAGTTTTCTTGGCAAGTTTCATGAGGTTGGTTTGTCTTTGTTTTTGCCATGGCCATCCTCTGAGGCTGAGAGAGTCATATATATATATATATATATATATATATATATATATATATATATATATATATATATATATATATATGAGAGAGAGGCAATGGAAGCAATGGCCCAGAGAGGTGGTTGGGTCCCTTTCTCTGGATATCTTCAAAGAGAGACTGGATAGCTACCTGTTGGGGATGCTCTAGCTGGGGATGCTCTCTCTCTCTCAATAATAATAATAATAATAATAATTTGTACCCTGCCCCTCTGCATAGCAATCGGGGCGGCTTCCAGCATAAAATACAATACAGTAAATATATATATAATCATAGAATTGGATGAGACCCTCAAAGGTCGTCCAGTCCAACCCCATTCTGCTATGCAGGAATACACAATCAAAACACCCCCAACAGATGGGCATCCAGCCTCTGCTTAAAAACCTCCAAAGAAGGAGACTCCATCAACCGCCAAGCGAGCATCTTCCACTTTTGAACAGCTCTTACTATCAGGAACTTCTTCCTAATGTTTTAGGTGGAATCTCTTTTTCTGTAGTTGATATCCATTGAGGCTCCATTGTGTCCTATTCTCTGGAGCAGCAGAAAAGAAGCTTGCTCCATCCTCACTATGACACCCCTTCAAATATTTAAACAGGGAGATCATATCCCCTCTTAACATTCTTACATCATAAAATCCCAATGCAAGACCACATTAAACACACCACAGCTTCAACATCTACATCAACAAGAAGACAAACTTGCAAACTTATAAACTTACAAAAAGCATGCCCAAGTAGTAACATACAAATAAAACTAATTCATGCAAACACATCTATTTAGCTTTATAACTTCCTTCTGATGTGATTGGCGTGTGTGTGTGTGTGTGTGTGTGTGTGTATCTTTTATATTAATGCCCATTTTAATGGGTTAATTTTTTTTAAAAAAAATCTTTCTTTATTCCCTTATCTATACACATATGCAAATCCCTTAGATCTTATATCATTTTATGTTTCCATTGCCATTCTTAAAAGTTCCTTCTGATGTACCCTCCTGTAACTTCAAACAATTAGACCTGGTCCAATGAAAGCAAAGGTTCCCCTCTCGAAGTATATTCCGAATATTCAGTATATTCAGAAATATACTGCTGCTGTACAGAGCTTGGGGGAGTGATTATATTTTTGTACTTCAGCTCCTAGAAACCACCAGCCATGCTGGCTTGGGGATTCTGGGAAATGAAGTCCAAAAAGATCATTCCCCCCCCAGCTGTGTTCCTATACATGGAGGCTCCATTAGAGATAGTACAAGTTAGGACAAACTGGGAACAATGCAAGAGCTTTCATGTTTTCTGTTTCCCATCTTAACCACCCTTCTTTTGTTGTCTGCTTGCTGGCTTTCCTTGCTTTTTGCACCATTTCAACTCTTCCCAGCAAAGACAGAATTGGCTTTGTATAGATGAGATGGACGATGGGCATTAAAGAATGAGGTGGAAAATTACTGCAAAATCCAGCATGTCCGATCCAATTTGGGCAAATGGAACAGATCGAGTGGAACGTAAATTAAATCCCACAAAACTTGCAGGCACTACATCCTCGAAATGCATTTTTAAAGTTGTCTTTGCTAGAGAAAGAATTAACAAAGCAACAACAACAGTGGCATGAAGGAGTCACAGCAAACCCCTTTGAATCATTCTTCTTTCCTCTTCCTCTTCCTCCCCTCTTCCTATTCCACTTTCATGGCTCCCTCTTAATGCCATATTTAATAGAAATAAATTAGAATAAACAGTCTAAAGACAGGTGGCAGGGTAATATTAAAAGAAAGGAATAAAAATTCATTTAATGAGCATTGTTAATTAAACCTGGAATTCAAAGAGGCCTGAGTTGTGG